TTCACTATCTGTATATATAAATAAGTTCTGACTATCGCTGTATCATAAAAGGTCGTTTTTTCGTGAGCTTAACGGGGTCAAATGACAGCAGTTAGACAATCTGGAACCAAGGGTATACTTTATGATGAACGATCTGAACTTGAATCAGATTCAACAAACGAAGACGAATCTCAAACTAGCGAAGATAGTGGTTTCGACTCAGGGAGTAACATGGAGATAGACGATGACGAAGATATCTACTTTCATCGTCTGTCTGGTCGTTTTTCAAATTCGAGATCATGGCGGAAAGAAGATTTTAGACCCAAGATATTTCAGTTCCAAAGCAACAATTGTGGCATAGATGTGTACTTGAACGATGACTCTCCGTTAGATTTTTTCAAACTTTTTTTTAATCAAGAGTTGATCCAAATTATTGTGAACGAGACAAATAAATTTCAAGCAAGTGCATCGGATGCATGTAAATCGTCATTATCACATCAAGCAAAATGGTCTCCGACTGATTCTCAAGAAATATACCTTTTTCTGGCTACTTTTATGCTAATGGCTCATGTTAGGAAGCACAGAATCGAAGACTATTGGTCAACAGATCATCTGATCGCAACGCCGATGTTCATTGATATCATGCCAAGAGATCGATTTTTGCTAATCTTGAAATTCTTGCATTTCAATGATAATTCGAGTCAGTCTGAAGGTGATAGATTATACAAAATAAGACCGGTCATCCAGCATCTGAAGGAAAAGTTCGGAACCACATTGGTTCCGTACCAGAATCTATGCGTCGATGAAAGTATGATGCTTTGGAAAGGAAGGTTACAATTCAAACAGTATATTCCCACCAAGCGACATAGATACGGAGTCAAGTTTTTTGTCCTATGTGATTGTCGCACTGGATCTGTGTTAGATTTCATCATTTATACAGGATCTGAAACAGATATTGTGTATAACCGAGAGCTTGGCATCGCAGGATCAGTTGTGATGAGACTTATGCAACCGTATCTTCTAAAAGGTCACAATTTGTTCGTGGACAGCTGGTTCACGAGTCCGGCCCTTTTCGAAGAATTACATGCGAATTCAACTGAAGCCTGCGGCACAGTAAGACAAAATCGATCCGGAATGCCGAGATTTACTGATCAACTAGAAAAAGGTGATTGTGATTACCGACACACTGATACTTTACTTGCTATCAAATGGTTCGATAAAAGGGAAGTTACCATACTTTCGACAATACATGAAGCAAGATTGGGGAACAGAAAACTGAATACTCGGGGCTGATCGATCATGATCGGCCATCTTGTTTTCAAGTTTTAAAACTTTTGCAACACTTTTAACCCTTTGAGGACGGGGTAAGTGTACGGGACAAATAGAAGTTTTTAAACTTTCAAACCACGTTTTTATTTTCATTAATGTTAAGCACGACTCTCTAGAAACATTTCAAAATGTGGTAATCTCGAAAACAATCTAATATACAAAGACCAACATTACAGTCAGCACATTCATATCTGGACTCAGCTCTCTTCTTCGCTCTTTTCGTAGTATTAGCAAGTGTTGGGAAATGACGTCCAACTAATCGAACTGGATTAGCTACACCACTGGGTTGTCCTCTTGACGCTTTGGGTTTACTATACATGGGCACAATTTGACGTAGCAGCTGTAGAC